GTTTTGACCCATTAAAAGTCGCCATATTTATTACCATCTTAATATTTTTACTTTAATAATTTTTTTCTGTAGAAAGATAAACATGTATAGTGATGAACGCCAAAATATTACATGCCATTGGTGTATATTTACTGAGTAATCAACTAATTTTCACCTGAGATTTGGAGCCAAACCACAGGAGGGTAAAAAATGACTTTAGAAAGATGGCAGCATCATTATTGTATTTGTACACAGAGATTGGTAGGTCTATTAGTCAAATCTGCTGACTTTAGCAATCTTGCATTATATGCCAACGGTGACAGTTCAAATACGCAAAAAGCACTTGTGTTTTTTGCCTCAAGTTTTCATGCCTGTAACTCAAGAAGACATAATATCCTTTTAGATTCTGGTTCTTAAACTTTCCTTTTGGTATCTTCATTATTAAGGCCCTCCATGGTTCAGTCCCAGAGATATGGAGATCTTAATGAGGCTCCATGAGTAAACTGGTCACATTTTCAAAGGTCAAAAACCAAATGTGGGTCATTTTACAGACTGCTGATACTTTTTTCTAGTGATTTGATGTTCGACACCCTGGCTTCGAAGCTTGTTTAAAAAAAAATTATAATTTTTTAAAGAAAAAAAACACGTGCCTGCTTCGTATTCGGATTCAAATAACACGAACGAACCCCTTGCGCAGGTTTCAAGTCATTCACTTCTTTGTTAAAATATTTACATGTGTAATTTCGTGCATGTTCAGTTTGTATTAATAATAATATTAATCAACTTAACAATATTCTTCATTTATTTTGATGATACACGAACCATGCTTATTTTTTCATAAATGTATTCACTGATTTATTTATTCATACTTTGTGCAAGTACAATGACAATTAAATTTTTTTATTTCTTTATATGGTTTTCGTAGCACAAATTGATTTATTATGTGAAACTGTCCAAAATCGCTGGGATGCAAAGACACATTTTCCACCTTTGACCACAAGATGTCATTAGTGTGCAACGTGTTAAAGTGGTGCTATTATGCGTTTTCACTTTTTCAACTTTAGTCAGTCAGTAATGTTGCTGTTTGAGCATAAAAAAGATCTGCGAAGTTACAAAGCTCAAAGTCCAATTCAAAAGGAGATATTTTATTTAACAGAAATCACTTTTCAAAAACTACAACGAACGACTCGTTTGGACTACAACGCATATTTTCCGGGATTTGTGATATCACAAATATCGACCAATGGGAGGAGACCTGGTTGAGCCGCACTAGAGAAGGCAACGAGTGTTATCACTATGTCGGACTCAAGGCAGATTAATTTAGAGTGGTTACAATCATCCGGGATTAAATCGCGCTCAAATTGATTTGATATTGACTCAATAGTTACAGTGAAGCTGGCAGGCGGCTATGGTAAGGGGCGTGACATTTCCCAACCAGCCGCCGAGTGCTGCCAATCACAACACACACTGGCCCAGCTAACCAATCACAGCACATTTCGTATTTCAGAAGGCGGGCCTTCATTTGATACAGGAACTATTCGAGCCGTTCATGCCAGACTGGGTAGAGAGGTGTTATGAGAGCCTGTTCCAGTACACCCCCAAAACAAAATCAAGACTTTGTAAAAGAGCATAATAGGACCCCTTTAAAAAGCTTTGAGTAATGAACCTTTGTACGATACAGTTGAGGGGAAAGCCCAAAAGGAGCTTGTAACAACTCCATATGTGATGTCTTATTGGAAGAATGTGGTTGATTATATTGATTGGAAAAAAATACATAATATCTAACAAGGTTAGAGAAATCTCATTCAAATTGTTACACAGATTTTACCCAGCTAAAGTGTTTTTGAAAAGGTTTAAATCAGACAAAGATACAAGCTGTTCTTTTTGTGGTGACCCTAATGAAACTGATATGCATATCTTTTGGGATTGTCCTCACACACAGCTATTTTGGATTGAATTTTCTAATGTTATCAATCGCAGTGTACTCCAGGGTTTCTCTCTGCTTTTTAAGGATGTACTGTTTGGCTTCTTTAATATACAAAAAGATTAAATGAATGAATATTTTATTATTAACCTATTATTACTTCTTGCAAAATTTCATATTCACCGCAGTAAATTCACTAATCAAAATCCTTGATATATTGTTTATAAAAAAGAGGGTCAACAGTATATCCAAACTATTTCATCTTCCAAGAATCTCAAGGCTTTTAAAACGGTTCATTTATTTCATCTTTTTAATTGATTTTGTTAAATCTTTCGTTTTGTATTATTTATTTATTGTTACATACATCTATAAATGGTGCTTTGCATGTAATGTCACCTCTTTGTATGCAATGTTGATATTCTCTGTATTTTTATATTTGGTACCTTGGCATTAATAAAAAAATAAATAAAACAAGTTGAGGGGAAAGCCTCGTGCTTCGAAATAAAGCTTCTTTTCACCATCACTACTTTTTGTCTTTTAAAGAGGAATATCTGATGAGCATGCAATGTTGAAACTAGAAACGTATCTGGTGATTTTCTATAACACAATTGCATAGAACATACCTGTCTGAGTGCTATAAATATTCTTTTTCTAAAGTTTGCATGCCTGCATCTCGAAAAGTATTCAAGACTTCTAGATTCTCATTCGTATTAAGCTTTCCTTTTGAAATCTTAATATTAGCAAAATGAAAAAAATGTAAACCAGGGTCCTCTAGTTGAGATGATAAAACAAGTTGAGGGGAAAGCCTCGTGCTTCGAAATAAAGCTTCTTTTCACCATCACTACTTTTTGTCTTTTAAAGAGGAATATCTGATGAGCATGCAATGTTGAAACTAGAAATGTATCTGGTGATTTTCTATAACACAATTGCATAGAACATACCTGTCTGAGTGCTATAAATATTCTTTTTCTAAAGTTTGCATGCCTGCATCTCGAAAAGTATTCAAGACTTCTAGATTCTCATTCGTATTAAGCTTTCCTTTTGAAATCTTAATATTAGCAAAATGAAAAAAATGTAAACCAGGGTCCTCTAGTTGAGATGACACGGAATCACCCTATTTATATAGCCTTGTACGGTGAATAACAATCCAAAGTGAATCCATTTGATATAATTACATAACATGTGAAGTTATAAAACTAGGCATTTTATATGGGTTTCCTTATATATTATGTTTGTGAACACTTAATGTTTTGCATTTATTTGACCTACACTGAGATCAGAATCAGATCTTCATCCAAATCCAATGAATAAGCAAAGAGAATGCAGTTAAACTAATATTACCTTTATGATGGAATACGCAACAACATTATTAAGGGTTCACAAACTACCTAGCGTCACCGGTCTATTATCTCACGCGAGCACGTGGAAGCACCTTTGACAATACAAAGAACGTGCAAAATGGAATTTAGTGACAATACATTTTAGTTCTTTTCATCCATGTTGAAAGTGCATGTGCTTGACAGTAATTTCGGAAGTAAGTATATAATATTGATACTGTACAGTGAAACTCGGAACATCTAGACTTCGAGTTTGACAGCTGCATGTGTCGTTCGATCCAATCAGATGGCGTGACAGCGCAGCGTGAGGTCCAATAGGAAAGTGTAACCTCTACCGATGCGTTCAGACACATGCATTCATTATTCTTTCCCACACAGACTTACAAACCATCCCTTACCTTCTGCTGAATGTAAACGTGACACAGACGTCAACAACAGCAGTAGTAGTAAAGCACCAAGGTGTTCCATGCCTTGCTCGGCGTCCTTAGATCCAGAATTAGACCCCAGGCACAGATGGCCCCATTTTCACCCATTGCATGTTGTTACTAGTATTATTATTGTTAAATCTACTGCTTATTGTAATTCATGGGCTATTATTCAATAATATCGTAAATTACATATACATTTCAGACATTTTTAATTTTCATTAGAACGTATGGGCACATTGAGTGAAATAATTCAGTTTGACTTCATAGTGTTGCTATTATAACATATGTTTAATTAATTTAAATATGTAAATATTATTATGCCTGTATACAAGTTATAGAACAAATGTACCTTTCTGATGAATCTCTTTTACTGGGATTCTGCTTTGTCTGTTATCGGTTATTCAGTTATTTAACTAAATTGTCAAAGCACAATTTTAATAGACTAGTAGATTTTGTATTTAAAAAAAATATTATATTTTAAAAAGTCACTTATATGTTCTGTGAAAGTTTAGCCAAGGGGGCTTCTTGCCCCACGGTGTTTTATTTGTACTGTTGATTCCTGAAAATCTATCACCATATCATCTTTGTTAAGTGGTTGACAGGAAATATTTGATGATGTTGATGAAGTTACATAACGGCTACATAATGGCAGAACCTTCCGGTCGTTCTACACAAAAATTAGGACACTTTCTCTTTGATAACCCTCTGACATTGTATTCTTGATGCTTATCTTCATGAAAGTGTTGGTTCAGATCCATAAAGTCCCTGAACGTATCACAGAGAGTCAGTGTAATCAGAGTGCAGCAGTCTCATCTCTCCTGGTGTGTCCTCATTTGCCCTTGTGAAAAAAGGCAGTGCTGCTGCAGTGCCACATCCTCTCTCCCTTTATTCCTGTGGCATTTCAGTGCACAAATGTCTCTCCTTGATCTACTGATCTTACACATTTAATCTATGCCATCTGAAGTACTGTAATAATATCATAATGCTCATCAGACAGACTTAAATAAGTGGTAGTTAGAGCTGTGCTTTTGCGTTTTGTCATGGTCTCTCTGATTCTCTCTTTCTCTCAGACTCTAGTAATGTGTGGGTGCGGGTGTGCCATGCCGAGGCTCACAGAGGACTGAAACAGTACCGTCAGGCTTTAAAAAACTGGGAGTCCTGCCTGATTGCTACCCCATCCCCAGAGGTACGTCGATTAATTTTCCTAGCACGTACTGCCACAGATGACTCATTTACAGTACATCAGCATGCTTTTGCACAGATTTTAGTAGCTGGATTGTTGCTTTAAAAACAGGCGGCAAACTTAAGTTTCCAAATGTCATAGCCATAAGCCATTAATATCAAATAATATAGATGCTTGGCATTATATAATATTTAGATGGGGTTTTTTCTCTGGTTACAATAATAGCTAGTTATACTGCAATAATGAACCCCTATAACGCCTATAAATTCATGTATATTCATATTTGATGAACTCCGCTAGGACTCTTTACTTTTTATTTGCTTAAGGTTTTTAATGAAGTGAGACCAGATTGTTTTTTTTAATGATTTGTACTTTATTGATTGACATAATCTAAAGAATCATGTAGTTAGTCAATCAAATGGTAACAATATAAATGAAAAAGGTGCCTTGTTTTAGAAATTTAATCAGACAAATTTGAAGAAAAAAAAACTTTTATGATTATATTCTTCGTTGATATAGTTTATCTATTTATTTGCTATTTCTATTATTCACTTGTTGCTCGCTATGAATATAGCTGTGGTTATAAGCAATCACTCAATCAATCATACACTTTTGCTTTAAAACAATGACAATAAGTGCAAAACAGTACAGTATTTTTAATTACAATATCTATATTTCCCAAATAGAGAATATTACCATGGTGACATCTTTAATCAGCAGATTTCACAACAATAATGCTAATTATGTCACAGAAAAGGGCTATCCATATGATTTAGTCCTGCTTTTTTGTAGATTCTTGACCATGAATGAGTTTGAATGTTTTTCTTTTTCAGTACTGATGATTGCTATTCATTTGAAATGGGAATTTCAGCACCATCTTTTCTGACCTATCTATTTATTAAATTAGCTCAGCTTTTACTACATTTATTCTGGACTTGTGTTGATATCGGAAAACCCGTTGAGGGGATGTAGTTGTGTTAAACACATGATTAAGGTATAAAGCATGTTTGCCAAGCTGACAAATGAGATAAGGAGATACAGACAGGTAGGGATAAGGCAGAGATGTGGGTCACTCAAGTGTGTATTTATCTCAGAGTGTCTGGCTCTGTTATTAGCCTTGAGGCCATTAACATGACTAGACTCTCAGTCCCATTCAAGTCAGATTAACCCAAAAACAGCATCTGTGCTACTGGAAGCTAAATTCACTCTGATCTGTCTCTCTCTTGCAGGGATATTTCCGGAAAGCAAAAATTCTCCAAGAGATGGGTCATGTAGATGACTCTCTGCAGGTCTTCCTTCAGTGTTTGGCATTGGATGAAAACTTCCATCAGGCCAAACAAGAGGTGGAATTGGTGAGATTAATTTCTGCTTTTGTAGTTTAATAGGAAATTATAATAAAAATCGGACATTACATTACCAACTTGAATTTCAGTATAGATACTTAATTGATATTTTAGAAAACAAATAAACGCCCTCAGATGACTCATGAAATAAGCTAGCGCATCATCTCAAATTTATATTATTTTATTCAATATTATATTTTAATATATTAGTTATAAGTTATTATTATAAAGTTATATTTAATTTCTATTCATGTTTTATTTCTATTTTATTTCATTTATAATTTGTCTAGTGGAAGTTGTAGAAGAGCAAACATTGCTTACAGCGTCATTAAGTTGTCTGTATTTTGCTACTTTGCTGCTTTGGCCATCTAATATGAGAGCATGTGGGTTTATCAGGCATTTTGTTTCTTCAGGACTGTATAAAGCCATTTGCTGGCACAGTAGGTATGGTCTCACGATATTCCGTGTTGATTTATATTGTAGGTCAGATGTCAGTGCACTGGAGACAGAACTGTTCTCTGTTCAAGATACAGTTTTAGTTATTTGTGTTCTTAAAGGTCAACTTATTGTAATGTGCTGTGGCCAAACTGCTGTTTCGTATCAGTTATGGACCATAATTAAATTATGTAAGATAATTATTACTGGTGAAGCCTTGTGACTTTCTGCCTAAGCCCACAGAAAGATGAAGAAAGTGCGCTGTGAGCGTTGCATAATGTGTATCTTTCAGAGTGTGTGTGTTTACAGAGGGCTTAAAACACACTCCCTTATGTAATTAGGTGCTTTTCTTTGGCCTACATTAAGACTGAGAACTATTTTAAAGGAGAAATCATGATCTCTCAATGACATTAACAAAGTCTGGTGTCTATAAACACTAGCTAGAGGCGCCTAATTCTTGCGATCTATTTATCTTAATTTGAACGGAATGCAGCAAGATTAGTTGTGCACAACATACCGTTTTAATGGTTTGGCTTCGTAAGATTTTTAAAATGTTTTTGAAAGAAGTTATGCTCATCAAGGCTGCATTTTTTAATCAATAATAGACTACAGACAGTAATGTCAGAAATGTTGATATATGTAAAAATGTAATTTATTTCTGTGATGACAAAGCTGAATCTTCAGCTTCATTACTCCAGTCTTCAGTGTCATATGATCCTTCAGACGCCATTTATAATGAGCTGATTTGGTACTCAAGAAACAATTCAAGAAATTTTTTTGTGGAAACTGTGATACATTTTTTTTCAGGAAATAGAACATTTAAAAACATTTATTTGAAATAGAATTTTTCATGCACCCTTGCTGAATAAAGTATTCATTCTTTTAAAAAAACTTTTGAATGGCACTGTATATAAGAACGTATATTCTTAGCTATATAGTCTTCTAAACCTCTGTTAAACTGCCTGTTTTTGTTCCATCTTTTTTGTTCTTCATCTTCAGATCTTGCATGACCTGTTGGCTCCGGCCTGTGATAATGTCAAGGTTGGTTTGAGAGAGACAACCCACAACACTTCCTCACACTTGCGCAGTAAAACCCTGGTGTCCGAGGGCCAGGATCGAGACCAGCAGACCCAGTTGCAAGCCCAGCACCAGTCTGGCACACAGGCAGCATCTCCACACCAGCCCCTTACAACCTCAGAGGTTTGCTGGTCACCTTTAACACCTTGAATTTTAAATGAGCTTTAGAAATAGGTCTCTAGTTGCCAGTGACATTAGCGGTTCTTAATACTTTAACACCTCATTTTTCTATGTCTGCAGAAACCAGGTCGGTCTGAAAGTCTGGAGCGCTCCGGCCTGAGCAGAGCTCACTCCCTTCGTGCTCACGGGATAGCAGGAGCTGTAGAGGAGGGGCTTAAAAGAGTTAGCTCCGCCCCACAATTGGGTGACCCAGAAAAAGGCGCACTGCTAAAGAGGAAGCTTTCTGTGTCTGAAGCAGGGCCTGGCGTGGCTTACAGCCACAGCAGTAAATATAAAAAGCAAGTAGGTAAGTCGTCTCGCCTGATAAGACCGTGATGCCAACACACTGTTGAAAAGTCACGCAAATACTGTATTGACTGCACATCTGAACATTTTTATGACAGCCAAACTATAATGTAGCTGGTGGTTTTCCTAATATATTATACAGGGCATCCTTAGACTGATTACTCCACTTTCTGTTCAGGCAACCTAATGATCAGTCAGTGTTTAAAATATGTACATTTTGGAGTTTGCCTTGCTTCCACTGGCACTGTGAGCAGAATGCATTACTATCATCAGCTGAAAATGTCTGCAGTTTGAGTTTGCCCTAAATAAAGTGGTGTCCTCATCTCTCTTCAACCTTTCTCCTTCAGCGAATGCCAGTGCAGCTACTCCTGTGGTTGCTGAGGAAACCAAGTCCCATCGAACCTTGCCAAAAGACCTGCTGGACCCTAATGATTTTGAATGCTCTCTCTGTATGAGGTGAGAGAAAAGTGTGTTTCTAGAGTCAAATCAACTAAAGGCCTAATAAAGAAGTAAAGGATGAAAGTACAATTAATCAGTGCACTGTTTCTCCCATATAAGCTTTAGAATAAATCATATAAAATAAAGATATCTCTTGCAGAATTATTTTAAATGTATTTGCTTTTTTGATTTTAATTTGTTACTATTTTGTATAATGTTAATAATTAATTGAATGTGTTTAATAGCAAAATAGTTTCTAAAAATATATATTTTATGAACAAAAAACGTGATGTTTCTTTAAGAATTCTCAATTATTTAAAATTGATTTCATTTTTTTGTAAATTAATATTTTAAATGTTTAAATGTTAATATTTTATATAATGTCAAAATGTAACTTTTAAAAGGAATGTGTTTAATAGCAAGTTAGTTTCTGAAAAAGTTTATTTTAATGCAAAAACCTAACATTTCTTGCAGAATTCTCAATCGTTTTAAATTGACTTGATTAAAAAAGTTCATATTTCATATAATGTCAACATGTGGCTTTTTATGCTTTGGTATCAACATTGGTAGCTGAAATCACAAGATTTCACTGTTATTTATATCAGCTACTGTTAACTTGTTATTGTGAGGACTATGGCATTGTCCACTAGTGATAAGACTTGAGATGGATTTTAAAAACCAGTTGTAAACAGGGTCTTAGAATAGCTTATTTTATAAATTACACAGTGCATGTATAGAAGACAAATTAATAGAGCCTGTAATGTTAGCCTCGGAAAACAAAAAAGCCTGAGCTGCCAGATGAAAGGTTCATACAGTATATGTGTCAGTGAAAGCGTGCTTGCTTTCACCCTGAAATGGAAAGCGTCAGTCACTGTTTAATATAGCTCAAGATCATCTCCTGTCTCTTTTCTAGATTATTTTATCAGCCTGTCACGACACCCTGTGGCCACACGTTCTGCAAAAACTGTCTGGAGCGCTGTCTAGACCACAATCCCCAGTGCCCTCTCTGCAAAGAAAGCCTAAAAGAGGTTTGTCTCGAAATCACAGACTGTGCATTTGCATGGCAATCAACAATCAACTAATTATAGTAGCATTTAGGGCTCAACAAGGCTTTTTTTTTATTAGGTTAATTGCATTATTGAAATAAATGATATAAAATTGTGTTGTATTTTGTTTTAATAAGTCCAATTTATTTAAGATTTAGCACCATCATTTTTATAGTCCATAAACATTTTTGCTAAAAATTACATATGTATTTTACAAAAATTACAATGATTACATGGTATCCAAACATTACTGATTTCATTATAATGTTCATTTTAACTAATGCTTTCAAGACTATCACAAGTTTCACACTGACTTCACGCCATTCAGTGATCCTTATTGTTGTGCACTGGGATGGCATTTTTTGTACATTTGTTTTCATATTGTCAGTTACATTTTAAATGATTTGAGCATTAGTAACCAATCCAATTCTTTCTGCTTTTCTCTTCCTCCTCTGTTTGGTTCTTCATACAGTATCTTGCCTTCAGAAAGTACACAATCACACAAGTGCTGGATAACATCACTAAGCAGTATCTATTCAAGGAACATTCAGAAAGACTGAAGCTGCATACAGAGGAAACAAAAGAGCTCTCAGAGTAAGTTTGCACAACTGCTTCGTTTGTGGCTCATCCAATCAGATTCATCGTTTTGTTTTGAAGTGTTACATAATGTGCAGCTGCTTTTGCACTGAACTTAATATTAATTTGTTATGCATAATCGTTTGGTTTCCATCTATCCAGTTCCAAATAAAAGAGTTTATATTTAAAAGAGTTAAATAGTTTTGTTTAATTCACTTAATTGTATCACATTGTGATTCATATTGTTACCATGATATAAAATTACTCGCACTGTAAAATTTCACACACTGTTTGCATAATTCTTTGAATCTAATCTGCCAAACGCACTCAGTCTGTTCTGTATGTTATTTGTCTTTCCCCAGTTTAACAAAGAATGTGCCCATCTTTGTTTGTACCATGGCCTACCCCACTGTGCCTTGCCCCCTTCATGTGTTTGAGCCACGATACCGTCTCATGATCCGACGCTGCATGGAAACCGGGACACGTCAGTTTGGCATGTGCATCAGCGACCCCCAGAAAGGGTAAGTGTGTGCTTATATGAGATCTCATGGGACCGTGAGCATTAAGTCTGTTGGATGGTGTAGCTGACTTTTATATTGTGATATATGAAGGTTTGTGGACTACGGCTGCATGCTCCAGATCCGCAGCGTGCATTTCCTCCCAGATGGGCGGTCTGTTGTGGATACAGTCGGAGGAAAGAGGTTTCGCATCCTCTCACGTGGAATGAGAGATGGATACTGTATCGCCAACATCGAGTATCTGGAGGATATGAAAGTACGCACATCTCATGTTTTTTTTTATTACTGTAATGTAGAGGAATGCAGGAAAATAATGTCTTATGTCTGATATTGTTGAGCATTCAGGGCAATTAAAAAAAAAAAGTAAATTAAATTGTATTTAAATTTATTTACCATAGTTTATTTACCATAGGTTTCTAAGTATGAAAAAATATATTTTCATAATTTTTTTTTAATTAAAAAATAAAGCCATCTAATATTTTTTTGTTTTTAATTTGTAGTTATATTTAAAGATTTTATAAACATTTTTGCTCAGAAAATGTACTTAAATTTAATAAAAATTTTAATTGAATTAAAGCCAACTAATAGTGTTTTTGTTTTTTGCTTTTATAGTTATAGACTTTATAAATGTTTTTGCTAAGAAAGTATGCACCTCTGATGGATTTTTAGATTAATGTAATGAAGAAGAATGCAGGAAAATAATATCTAATGTCTGTTATTGTTGAGCATTTAGGGTTCAACAATAAAAAAATTTTCTTTAAATAAGGTAAATTATATTTTATTTAAATTTATTTAAATGTAGCATCTTAGTTTTCTAGGTATGAAAAAAGTATTTACATTTTTTATTATTAAAAAAATAAAGCCAAGTAATATTTATTTGTTTTTAATTTGTAGTTGTATTTATAGACTATATATATTAGTGCTGTCAAATGATTAATCGCGATTAATTGCATCTAAAATAAAAGTTTTTGTTTACATAATATATGTGTGTGTACTGTGTATATTTATTATGTATATATAAATACACACACATGCATGTATATATTTTAGAAAAATATGTTACGTTTATATATTAAATATATTTATATATGATATCATTTATATGAATATAAATATATATACATGTAAATACATGTAAATATTTTCAAAATATATGCTGTATGTGAGTGTATGTATATATACAAATATACACAGTACACACATTATGTAAACAAAAACTTTTATTTTGGATGCGATTAATCGCAATTAATCATTTGACAGCACCAATATATATACATTTTTTTCTAAGAAAATTGTTTTGCAGTTATAGTTATAGACTTTATAAACATTTTTGCTGAGAAATTATTAAAATTTAGCATCCTCTTTCATGGATTGAAAGACAAATACTGTACTGCAAACATTGTGTTAGATTACTCTAATATAGAGGAATGCAGGAAAATATATGTGTATAATTATGATAGCATTTAGGGCTCAAAATAAGGATAGGATTTTTAAATAAGGTAATATTATTATTTGATTTATTTCAATTTTAGCACCATAGTCGCTTGAATTTTTTAATTACTGTAATATAGCAGACTGCAGGAACAGAAATATCTTGTTTGGAAACCACATGTCCTTCTACAGTGTATGTTGACCAGAATTTAAATTAAGCTTAAAGATACAGTATTTAAAAAGCTGGAGTATTGATCCGTTTTGTGCATTGTAGGTAAATGATGAGGAGGATTTGGAGAAGCTACAAGCGTTACATGATCAGGTGTACGACCAGGCCCGTAAATGGTTCCAGAACCTGGAGAACCGCTTCCGGAACCAGATCCTGCAGCATTTTGGGCCCATGCCAGAGAGAGAAGCTGACATCCAGGTATTTCCCGCTCTCTTAATCCCTACTACTGAGAGAAGGTCTGTCTCTCTTCTGTCTTTGCCCTACAGCAGGCTGGATGGGAGGAAGTAGGTCAAAGTGCATTCAGGGTTGTGTTTGCATAAGTGCCGTTACATCATAAATGTGTCAGAAAGAACGGAAGTGAATCTGGCAGCTCTCGCAAACGCGCGCACACTGTCTGGTAAACATATTAGCGTGTTGTCCCAAAGAGAGACGGCATGATTTGAATACTAACGGAGGGAGGTTATGGTTGTGTAAGCTTCCTGAACATAGCTGAGCCTTATATGGTCGATTTGAAGGGCCTCTCCTGTGATTTCTGAGTACAAATAGGATTTGTACAGATGTTCAAGCTAGTTTCGTCAGCATTTAGTTTAGCTCATCGTTTATCTTTTACAAAAAGAAAGCATGATGATAAAGGGGTCATGTCATGAGGAATCAAAATTTCCTTGATCTTTTCAGATTAAAGAAAGTTTGATGTTCTATGTAACTCAGAACTTCCTCTTGAGTTGAAAAAGGACTGTAAAACGTCACATCAGTAGTGTTCAGAGACTTGATCTGCCTGCTCATGTTGAGGTAAAAAGTTAAAAGCAGGACTGAATAATACCAATACCAATTCTAGCCAATACCAATGAGTTGATAATTATTTGGTTTTTGTTATGTTATGGCTGATAACCGAAGAGCAGATATTAAAATTAAATAATATTTTGTCAAAATAAATAAAAAACTAAAATTAGACGTTTTAAATGCTAGGCATCATAACATTTCAATCTACAGTATAAAAATTTAAATTAATTTTGAGATTAGCTAAATATTATATTTAATAGTGTTTTTAAATTGTTTAAAGATTTTTTTTTTTAAGAAATTAACTTGAAGTGAGTATTAGAGGCAGTGTTATTATTGTTAGCCTAACTAAAACAAACTATTAAAAATGTGTTCATTAATTAAAATAAGGCTGAAATAAAATGCAATATAAATATTAGATTATAAACGTATTATAGTGGATTTGGGTGTTTGCCCTGCCATGACATTCACTGTGAGAAATACCGCAAGCGGAGTGATACAAACGGTGGAGTTCTGTTATCACTCTAATATCACACTCTTATCAGCCATTCAGATTCAAGGACCGGATAAAGTAGATAGATAGTTGTATGTATTTTATATATATATATATACACAGTGGTGTGAAAAAGTGTTGGACCCCTTCCTGATTTCTTATTTTTTTGCATGTTTGTCACACTTTAATGTTTCAGATCATCAAACAAATTTAAATATTAGTAAAAGATAACACAACATGCAGTTTTTAAATGAAGGTTTTTATTATTAAGGGAAAACAAAATCCAAAACTACATGGCCCTGTGTGAAAAAGTGTTTGTCCCTAAACGTAATAACTGGTTGGGCCACCCTTAGCAGCAACAACTGCAATCAAGTGTTTGTGATAACTTGCAATGAGTTGGTTACAGCGCTGTGGAGGAATTTTGGTCCACTCATCTAGGCAGAATTGTTGTAATTCAGCCACACTGGAGGGTTTTCGAGCATGAACCGCCTTTTTAAGGTCATGCCACAGCATCTCAATAGGATTCAGGTCAGGACTTTGACTAGGCCACCCCAAAGTCTTCATTTTGTTTTTCTTCAGCCATTCAGAGGTGGACTTGCTGGTGTGTTTTGGATCGTTGTCCTGCTGCAGAACCCAAGTTCGCTTCAGCTTGAGGTCACGAACAGATGGCCGGACATTCTCCTTCAGGATTTTTTGGTAAACAGCAGAATTCATGGTTCCACAAATGATTAATCGCGATTAATTGCATCTAAAATAAAAGTTTTTGTTTACATAATATATGTGTGTGTACTGTGTATATTTATTATGTATATATAAATACACACACATGCATGTATATATTTTAGAAAAATATGTTACGTTTATATATTAAATATATTTATATATGATATCATTTATATGAATATAAATATATATACATGTAAATACATGTAAATATTTTCAAAATATATGCTGTATGTGAGTGTATGTATATATACAAATATACACAGTACACACATTATGTAAACAAAAACTTTTATTTTGGATGCGATTAATCGCAATTAATCATTTGACAGCACCAATATATATACATTTTTTTCTAAGAAAATTGTTTTGCAGTTATAGTTATAGACTTTATAAACATTTTTGCTGAGAAATTATTAAAATTTAGCATCCTCTTTCATGGATTGAAAGACAAATACTGTACTGCAAACATTGTGTTAGATTACTCTAATATAGAGGAATGCAGGAAAATATATGTGTATAATTATGATAGCATTTAGGGCTCAAAATAAGGATAGGATTTTTAAATAAGGTAATATTATTATTTGATTTATTTCAATTTTAGCACCATAGTCGCTTGAATTTTTTAATTACTGTAATATAGCAGACTGCAGGAACAGAAATATCTTGTTTGGAAACCACATGTCCTTCTACAGTGTATGTTGACCAGAATTTAAATTAAGCTTAAAGATACAGTATTTAAAAAGCTGGAGTATTGATCCGTTTTGTGCATTGTAGGTAAATGATGAGGAGGATTTGGAGAAGCTACAAGCGTTACATGATCAGGTGTACGACCAGGCCCGTAAATGGTTCCAGAACCTGGAGAACCGCTTCCGGAACCAGATCCTGCAGCATTTTGGGCCCATGCCAGAGAGAGAAGCTGACATCCAGGTATTTCCCGCTCTCTTAATCCCTACTACTGAGAGAAGGTCTGTCTCTCTTCTGTCTTTGCCCTACAGCAGGCTGGATGGGAGGAAGTAGGTCAAAGTGCATTCAGGGTTGTGTTTGCATAAGTGCCGTTACATCATAAATGTGTCAGAAAGAACGGAAGTGAATCTGGCAGCTCTCGCAAACGCGCGCACACTGTCTGGTAAACATATTAGCGTGTTGTCCCAAAGAGAGACGGCATGATTTGAATACTAACGGAGGGAGGTTATGGTTGTGTAAGCTTCCTGAACATAGCTGAGCCTTATATGGTCGATTTGAAGGGCCTCTCCTGTGATTTCTGAGTACAAATAGGATTTGTACAGATGTTCAAGCTAGTTTCGTCAGCATTTAGTTTAGCTCATCGTTTATCTTTTACAAAAAGAAAGCATGATGATAAAGGGGTCATGTCATGAGGAATCAAAATTTCCTTGATCTTTTCAGATTAAAGAAAAGTTTGATGTCCTGTGTAACTCAGAACTTCCTCTTGAGTTGAAAAAGGACTGTAAAACGTCACATCAGTAGTGTTCAGAGACTTGATCTGCCTGCTCATGTTGAGGTAAAAAGTTAAAAGCAGGACTGAATAATACCAATACCAATTCTAGCCAATACCAATGAGTTGATAATTATTTGGTTTTTGTTATGTTATGGCTGATAACCGAAGAGCAGATATTAAAATTAAATAATATTTTGTCAAAATAAATAAAAAACTAAAATTAGACGTTTTAAATGCTAGGCATCATAACATTTCAATCTACAGTATAAAAATTTAAATTAATTTTGAGATTAGCTAAATATTATATTTAATAGTGTTTTTAAATTGTTTAAAGATTTTTTTTTTTAAGAAATTAACTTGAAGTGAGTATTAGAGGCAGTGTTATTATTGTTAGCCTAACTAAAACAAACTATTAAAAATGTGTTCATTAATTAAAATAAGGCTGAAATAAAATGCAATATAAATATTAGATTAAAAAAAAAAGTAAAATATTTAACAAAAATTACAAATGTTGCCTTGGCAACTAACGGAAATAAAATAATGTCAATAATAGTTGACACTAAAATGACTAAAATTGAAATAAAAACAAATGAAAGCGAAGTAGAAATATTTAAAAATATATATATAGAATAAAAATCACAAAAGCACATAAAACTAAAATAAAAAAAAGATTTAAAAAAGTTCATTTAAAATAATTATAAAAACTATAAATAATACTAAAATAACACAAGACGGCAAAGGTAATCTAAATGTATAAATGAGGACACAAGCAGCACAATTAAATATTCAGTATCGGCTGATATATCAACAGATCTCTAATATCAACAGAGAACCGATACTGTACAGATATGTTATTCGTCTCTAGGATATGACTGAATGTGACTGTACTTATGTGTTAGTGTATTGGTACACTTTATTAGTACATGAGCTTACTAGACAATAACACTATTTCTTTATTTCTTTGTTTTCAAGGCCACACCTAATGGTCCAGCATGCTGTTGGTGGCTACTAGCTGTTCTTCCTGTGGATCCACGCTACCAGCTGTCTGTTCTTTCCATGACAACACTAAAAGAGCGACTAGTCAAGATCCAGCACATCCTCACCTACCTGCAGAAACTTTCCAGCGACTAGAGCTTCCACACAGATCTCTGTTTCCACCAGCTAATGTCTGTGTCCTTCTGCTGGCCAACATGCAAACACTCTATGGTGCTGACTGATGAAGAACTAATGAGAATTCAAGGAGACTCCACTGAAAGCCCGACACCGATTTCTGTCTGTGGGCTTAGATGTAATTCATGCCGAGAGAGTTATAAGAACAAAGTGTTTTTGTCGTTTCATAGCGATCTGTTCATCGCCATCTGACTTTTCTTTGTGCGGATCCCTGTAGTATTTATTGTCGAACCGCCTGTCCATTCTCATTTAGGAGAAACAATCTACTTAATCTCACATTTCCGTCTAATGCCCGTAGCCTCCATACAGTGCTTTGAGGGCAGAAATATTGCTGGAAAGCATTCCAACATATTCACGCCATGCTTTGTGTGTGTGTGTTTTGAAATGACAGGGAGCATCTGCAAAAACTAATCTTCAAGGTAGATTTTTCGGCACCAAGGTAGAAGACAAGACCATTTTGAATATCTTTTCTTTTTCTCTTGGAAAAACAAAAGCAGAAATATCGCTTCCAAGCATCCAACCGAGCTTTTGCACAAGAAGTCACTGTCGCACAACAGCTGAGTCGCCTAAGACAGAGAAAACTCTGACGATGCACTTATATTCATTTGTGTTACTTTTGCAGTAATGGACGTTAATGAAGCTTGCACTGTCCCGTCCTGTCTCAGAGATGGGCACGAGACTTCTGTTTAGAATAGATTTATTTCTGCCGGGGAAATAATTAGGACTTCCAAATATCTCGATAGTTTCCTTTCAGACGTATCATTCATTTGCTGTGGGTTTGCTTTGGTCAGTCAAAACAGCAAAATCAACGTGTCACCATATTGCAAGTGTCTCTGTTAGTTACAAGCTGCTCTGTCAAATTCTTTAGAAGTCATTTTTAAGAATGATGCTGAGATATTGATGTATTTTATTTGAGTAAACAAAGGGAAACTTGCAATATTTTGACAGATGTAGACAAGTAAAAAAACAGACTATCGTTGGCTGCAACCAGCACCATACTGAAAGGAGATTTATGTTATGAGTTATGAATGCTAACTCACTAGCTCATACCTGTGTGGTGCTTGTTGTGTGCAGACTAACTTTTGCCTTATAATACCTTGTTGCGTTCTGCTCCTACGGTATAATGCATGGGCTTGGGTTTTTGCATTCCTGTTGGCGGAGAATTCATTCTGTGGTTTAATTTACTTCATTTGCCTCTTGGCCACAATCCTTTAAGTGTGTAAAATATGTCAGATAACGGCTTTGTTGTATGTAAATCTTTTTGTTTTGAAAAATAATTTTTTTTTTACAGCTCTGCTAAGATATTTAAGTTGTCAATTTTCAAATAAAATGCACATCTTTTTCCATTGTATCTGTGTTTATTGTATTATTATTATTATGATCATCATCATCATCTCTCCGTCCATTAAAAAAAAAAAACTCAAAATTTTTTCCAAAACAATTCTTTTGTTGGGTTGCAGGATGCTGGAGCCTAATTTATTATTATTATTATTATCTATCCATTTTCCAAATCACTTGCAGGAACAATTTATTATTATTATTATTATCATCATAATTATTAGATGAAAACAAAAATGATTATCATTCTTCTTATTCATATAATATTAATACATTATTATTATGATCATTAATTTACTTCTTTTTACTAACAATAATAAATTATTACAGAAACCACTTGTCCTATGTATGGTCACAGGGATGCTGGAGCCTAATTTATTATTATATTATTACTATTATTTTTGTTATTATTATTATTATTACTACTACTAATGTATTATTATTATTACATAATTAACAAATAACATTTATTATTATTATTATTATTATCATCATCATCATCGTTACCTATATCCTCCACTAGATTGCAGCAGCATCACTGGTTGTGCAACAGCAGCATGTTTCATAACTCGCAGACTTGTTGTCCTGTTCTTACTGCTTATTAGATAATCCATCATCCTGCATCGACCAACCAGAACATTCTCACACAGTTTCAGACCTTTATTGAATGCAAATATATACTCTGTACATTTCTACATAGATATCCGCAGTTTATGCACAATGTGTTATTTAACAACTTTGACTGACATGTTTGACTGAGCTCTCAGATATGAAAAACACCAAACATCCAGCTATCGGAGAGACAGCATCATGACAAACTCTGAAAGAAAACAGAGGCAAAGCTGGCAGTTAATGTAAGCTCATTGTCGTTATGTATTCGACTAGATTAGAAAGAGAAAGTGTAAAGATTTTCCCTGAAATGTCACTTGAGGGGTTCTGTACGAATCAACGCAATTCGTGTGAAAATGGTGCTTGAAGTTCACATATCTATCCAATTCTTGAAACACACTCGGCTTGTGTTCTCGAGCTCAAAGTTTTCCACCTTGGACTACTTTATCAAAGTTGGTTCACATACGTACAATATAACTGTTGGAGATTAAAGATGAAGATGGCGGGAATTGTTACCTGAGTAAGGTAAGCAGACGCGTTTGTTGTTGTGTTGTGATTAACAAGCCAAGAAGCTCCTTCGTTTTTATAACTCATTATAATTAAAAATCAAGTAAATAAAAAGGTTGCAAGGGGTGTCTGTTACTTCCTCAGTTGAGGTGAATGTACTCTGTGGGAGTTATAGTGATAGTGTAATGTATGTGTACAGTATAACACGTTACTGTATGGTTGTTTGTTGTTTTGGGGCACTAACTATGGTAAATATCTAAATGACTAACCTAGCAACTGTGGTTAAAATAGTACTTTTTGTGTATTTGAAAAGGAAAGGGGTTAGGTATATGGACAGCTCATGGTTAAAACAGTATAGCAGTTACCCCTAGACCAAAATTAACCTGGTTTTTAAAGTGAGGTCCAATTATAAAAATGTCATTCTGAGGACATGTGAATTTGGTTGAATATGAAAAATGTAGTCAGTCCACTTTTAGTACAAGATTGGTCTCGGTGTGTTCAAATGGGGACAACCTCAGCTTTAAAACTCTTTTTAACCCTCCAGGCTACACAAATTACCCATATATCCTCAGAAAAGTAGGTCCCAAGAGCCATATTTACTTCAAGTGAAAAGAGGGCTGCTGCTGTTTCATATGCTGGCCACTAGACAGCGCTCTAAAGTTTTGTTATTGTCTTAAAGGTTTAGTTCACCCAAAAATGAAAATTAGCCCATAAATTACTCACGCTCAAGGCATCCTAGGTGTATATGACTTTCTTCTTTCAGACGAATCCAGTCGGAGTTATATTTATATATTAAAAATTGTCTTTGATCTTTCAAGCAGTTTAATGGCGGGCATTGTTACCTGAGTTAGGTAACATCCTTCATGACACAATAACTTGTGTTGCAGTGCTTCAGTCCAAAAGATGTGAAATAAAAAGTGCCCATCCATAATAAAAAGCGTCTCACACGGCTCCGGGGGGTGAACAAAGGCCTCCTGTAGTGAATCGATGTGTTTTTGTAAGAAAAATATCCATATTCAAAACGTAATAATCACTTTAATCTAGCTTGCGCCAACAGTTGTACACGGAAGCAGTTCCGGGAGGATGATGTAAGATGTCGATGTTGCGCATGCGCCGGTGAGTCTCGTGAAAACCAACGTTTGTTAACAGGAGCAAAGTAAGCAAAGTTTCCTTACTTTAGCAAAGGAAAACCAGTCTCCTCTTGTCTTATCGAAATCCTCCGACATTCTTCTTTACAAATCCTCGTTTTGTACTTCTAATTCGTGACCGTTGTTTTGTTTTGATTAGAGATCGACCGATATATCGATTTACCGATATTTTTCCCGATATTTAAGCATTTTACAATAATTGAATATCTGTTTTGTCATATCGGATTCACCGATAAACGGTAGAGGAGACAACAACAACGGCGTGCACAGGTACTTGATTTACTGTAGTTAGTAAACTTTATTTAACATAACAGCCATTAATGCACAAATTAGATGTATTACATAAATGCCTGATATGCAGTTTTTGCAGCTTGGCTAGAAGAAATAGAGATGAACTCACTGAGTCACATAAGATAATCCATCAAGTCCTGTCCCAATAAAGACGTAACTTTGCGTGAATTAAATAATATGCAGCCATGAATGGGCGCATGTTGGAAATAAAAGTGCTGAATTTAATTCGCTCTCTGTTGTCTATGCTCATCGTCTCATGAAGTCGGAGTCACGTAGGCTAAGATAATCTGTCAAGTCCTGTCCCAATAAAGACGTAACTTCGCATGAGTTAAATAATACAGCCATGAATGAGTGAATGTTGGAAATAAAAGCGCAAAATGTACTTCTCTGTCTGTTGTCTATGCTCATCATTAGTCTCGTGAAGCCGCTTTCATATTGCTGTTCACTCACCGGGTTGATGTGGTTGATGCTCAGGAAATGCTCCAGCACGGCCACCGCATGTAATTTTTAACAAGATTCACTTGTTTAAAACACCCCTAAATTGTTAACATTTACTATATAATCATTATTTCGCTAATAAATATCTAAATAGATACAACTCTATGGAAATTAATTATTTATTATCTCCACGAGCGATCACAGTTTGAGTATAGTTCTGTGTAAATGCATCGATAAACGGCGCTGTTAGCAGGCATTTCATAATCTAGAACGACAAAAACATTATTAGTAATTCTGATATAACATGCCAGTTGAGAAATGCAATAAAATACCATGTTTTGTTTGTTATATTCCAATATGCCAGAGAATATTATTCAGTGAATTAACAACAATTATTCTTCACTCTTTAGCCTATTAAACAGCTTATAAACCTACTAAAACTGTAGTTTAAAATGAAGTTGATATGACTCCTGTCCTTTATTTATTTTCTCCATTTGAAAACGTTAGACCTTCTACGTTTATTTTGCTTATTGTTAATATTAGTGTTGTTGCTGATGCTTTAAATAAAATGTTTTTTTATTGTTGTAATGTGAAGATTAAATTTAACATGAAAGACTGCTAATTTTCAACACTTTTTTTTTTAAGATGGCTGAAAGTAGGAAAAACCAAAGTGAAGTATGGACTTACTTCACTCAGTCATTTATTTACTTTATAACAGTAAATAAATATTGGTTCTGCATATCGGTTAGCGGGCTCATAAACATGCAAATAATCGGTATCGGTTATAAAATATCAATATCGGTCGATCACTAGTTTTGATCTCTCCCCTGCGCTTCCGCTTTCGTCACTTCTGAGCGGCACATGCGCAAAGCCGACCTCATACATCATCCGCCCGGGAACAGCCTCCGTGTACAACTGTTGGCGCAAGCTAGATTAAAGTGATTATTACGTTTTAAATATGGTTATTTTTCTTACAAAAACGCATCGATTCGCTACAGGAGGACTTTGTTCACCCCCCTGGAGCCGTGTGAGACACTTTTTATTATGCAAGGATGGGCTTTATTTCACTTCTTTTGGACTGATGCACTGCAACACCCGCTGACTGCCATTAAACAGCTTGAAAGATCAAAGACAATTTTTTATATAACTCCGACTGGATTCGTCTGAAAGAAGAAAGTCATACACACCTAGGATGTCTTGAGGGTGAGTAATTTATGGGCTAATTTAAATTTTTGGGTGAACTAGCCCTTTAAGGGACTTGTTGTACACAAGTTAAATGGTTATTGTTTTGCATTTGTTACGATACAAGTTCCAGCTTTTTGCTTGTTTGCTGCTCAGTGATTTGAGTTTGAACTTGTGTTATGATCTATTCAGCTCAACAGATTAGTGCGTTCAAAAAGGATGCTGCCCTCCTTACCATCAAAGTCCACGTTTCCATCTCCATTGAGGTCGATGTCTGTCAGAATTTCTTCCAATTCTCCCTTCTTCAGTTTCTCCCCGAGCAGCGTCTTTGTGGACTCCTTCAGCTCCTCAAAGGTGATCCGTCCATCACCGTCACAGTCAAACTAAGAGAGGCAGAGAGGAATGCAGAGTTTTATGAAGAGGTAATATTATTTATGGGTTGGAAAAAGATGCAAGGTAATGATGTTTTGATGTTTGTGGCGTTTTGTTCTCTATTTAATGTACACTTTAAAGTGAGCTCCCTTTGAAGGGAACTTTAGAGTGCATACTCACCTGTTTGAAAGCACAGTGTAGCTCCCTTAGACCCACCATATGAGCGGTTTCAGCCAGCATCCGGGGCCCCATTAATTCACAGAAATCATCAAAATCCACATGGCCTCCCCCTATAACCACAAACACACCACATAGACACATTTATCTTTAATTTTAATCTGATTTACACTGCTGTTCAGCAGTTTGGGGTTGGTTAGATATTTTTATGTTTGTCTCTTATGTTCATCAAGTCTGCATTTATTTGATCAAAAATACAGTAAAAACAGAAATATTG